TTAGAAACCAGAAGGATCCCCTACAATATTTGACGTTTTCTTCACTCGTAGTAGACTGGTCTCTTCAGCGACTTGGATCAGCGTCATGAAACTAGCATGCTTATTGTACTAAAACGGCAGTTATCCTATACGATAGTACGCCAGTTTAAGATTCTTTTGTTGCCGCATACCTCCTCATACCCGCTGTGACCTGAACAGTTGTGTCTATCCAATAGACCATCAGACTGTTGCGAGCAGCACCACTTTATCCTCCGAATTTGTTTACGGAGGACATCAATCTACGTGACTTCAGAAGAAGAGCAAATAGCTGTTCCACATCAAGTAGTGATCAGATTTGTGCAGTAAGCCCACATCCGTTCAGGGAACCTAACTGCACTTTCACGCTGGACCCTTTTCTTACTCGCACCAGAACTTCGTAATGTCTTGCTTGTTTGGTGGACAGTAAGTCGTCCTAGAAGATCCCATTCGTTTCTGAATTGTATATCATGTACTGTCGGGTGCAGACTCCCATCCTTGCCTTCTTTTAAGAACAATGTTTCTTTTTTTCCACGTTAGTCATTTCAAGAAGAATAGTCTGTCCCTTGTACCCAAACCGTCTTAAGGGTTATCATTCGTTTAACGCGCAACCACGAAGACCTTTTCACTCTTTCGTTGTTTGAACTGGGAATTATTTAACCATGAAATCAAAAAGAGTCTCATCTGTTGTCGATTTTAGAGATCTGTTATAATCGTTTCGTTAGCGGTGGTTGAAAAAAGGACCAGAAAGTTCTGGGAATCCTCTACCCGCTCGCCATAAAGGAAGGCTTTTTTCAGTTGCAGGTGGTGGCGCAGGTCACCATTACTCTTTGTACGGTGCCCCCAGATGGGTCGCGTTGGGCAAAAGCAGAGGCTGAATTGGCCCCTGGTTTTTGGGCCCTTAACTGTTTCCATACACGCCTCTGGCATGCGTTAGGTGGAGGCTTCACTTGCGTTATCCGCCATAACCAATCTCATCTCCAGTCGGCTGACGGATTCCGGCGGTCTACTTGTCGCCTACAGCGGCAAGAGATTGTGGGCAATACTGAGATGGCGTTCTAAGCGGCAATTCAATGCATTCCTTACTACATT